CCTTGTTTTTCTCCCATGCCTATAAATGAATAGAAATGGCAATGTAATTTCCGCCAAAAATTATTGAGTGGAGCTCATTCATCTCCTTTCCTTATTCAAAAAACTCTACAAAATTCTCTACTGCTTGTTGTTGAGAGAAAAAACAAAGCCTTATTTCTAGGTAACTCCATTCCTTAACAGAAATACATCAGCATCCAAACGGAGCCTTTAACTTTGAATTCTAAGTGAAATCGTAAATTTTATTATTTGAGAGGTTTGTTTGATGTGTTTTCAGGTCCACATGAAATTGAAACCTATCACTTGCAAATCTTACAACAAGGTCTGGTTGATTTTAACTACGTAGCACTTTAACCTATGAAGTTTGCGGTCGTATTTCGGTGATCTGCTCGTATCCTAGACCCTAGCATATATACACAAAAAAGGACTGTGGGTTTGATTAACTTGATGCTTGGATTCTTTTTTTAGGTCCCTGTTCAAGTGATTTATGGTGTCTCTAGTTTCAGTACCACATATATTAAGTTATAGTTAAGGGTAGGATACATGGCAATCTTAGTGGCAAAAACCCTATTGCTAGGGACAACTTAGGGTAGGTGACATATCAGTGAAATAGAAAAGGACCCTGCTGTTGGGGATAAGTAGCAGCAGAAGAGGGGTAAGAGACCTTGAAGGAGGGAGTGTTTTGAGTAGGTCATGTATTAGGAGTATCTCTAAATGCAGAATCATGTGAGACTCATGGAAGGAGATTTGTTGAGGAGAGCAAAGGTGATAGTTTTAATCATTTGTCACTCATAGTAGGAGAGAAAAACATTTTCTGAAACCATTGATTTGGGGACTCATGAGTACCATTAATTATCATCCTGCTCATTTGTATTCATTTTGAATCTTTAAATTGGAAAAAAATTATGCTTTTTCATTTGATGCTTGATGCCCTTAACTAAATATGCAATGACTTTGTTTATAGAGAAAATTTGATATGGAGTAGCTCTTATCTTGTTGAACAGAAGCGGACTACCCGGAAATTATAATGGGTTCTAGTGTATAACTATTTGGGCATATATTATATGATTCATAGAACTTTTCATTATAGTTCTTCTTGCGTTGTATGCTTTGACTTATCAATCCTGGTCAATGTGCAATATCTTGTAGGACATTTCCAAAATCTGAATTTGCAATGCCACAACATTTTCAGTCATAAAATTAAAATGGAATTGTATGCTATGACACCATTTATTTTTTATACAAGGTGGTCGTAATTATTTTTAGCTAGATGTGAAATTCAATAAATAAAAGTGTCGTAATATTTGAGAAATTTTGTTTTAGACATTGTGCCTAAACAATGACACATCATCGACCACTCAATTTCAAATCTAATGATTAATGATGCTTGTGACCTCCTTATATAAAAAATAAATAGTCTCATTATTTATATTTTCAATTAAAATTTAGCATTCTAAATAAAACTCCTTCATATTTGTGCCATGTGATCTTGGCAAGTCATTATACAAGGGAACAATTTCATTAATGTTATCTGCAAAATGCAGCTAACAATAGGAGCTACTCATAGCAACAAAAGAAAGAACACATTATGACCGTTTAAGAGTATTTTCATGACCCGTAAAGGCGGGTAAAGGTAAAGACTTAATAAGACTCCCAAGACGGCCAACGGGAAAATAATTTTGCATTTATTTTTAGAGAAATAATCCAATAGGACTTTCGTTATTCATATGTGTAGGTCTTCAAAGGATCATCATTAAAAAAAATCAAATATCACATCCATGTGATAACTTTTTTAGAGATCCGTATCAAATTTAATGGTGATCTTTTGGGATCCTACACACAAGGGTGAGGGAGGGTCTTATAGAATCACTATTTTTTATTTTTCTAATGTTAACTTGGAATTTTGAAAAAAATGAAATTCTAGATATCATGTTGTGACCCTTCGCCACCTGGATCACCTATACGTAGACATCATTCCCAATTTTGTGGCTAATTAGTGATAGCAACAATCTTAAAGATATCTAAATTGAAAGTTTCTCATTTTTTGAATGACATTCTAGCTCTCCATATTGAGCATATGTTTCCTACGTGTGGCTAACACAATATATAGTGGTCATGGAAAGTTGTACCGTCCACCAAGGTCAAATCAATGGGAAGAATGGTGATGGAATAAGATTTTCTCTCACCAATTGTCATTAATTCAAGGGATCGTATATAATAACGTTATTTATTTTTACTACAAAAAAGTCACAATTACTTCTACTTATTAAATGTCAAATTGGATTTAGATTAGTCACGAAGTCTTCGAATTTTTCTTTTCGAATTTTGAGTATTGTTAATAACACTCTTATAACCACCCAATTTGAAATTCAAGATATAGGAGTAATTATGACATCCTTATACAAAACGTAAATAATCTCTTTGTATACTTTTCTTTAATTCAATTGCACATATTATTATGCATTCATATTTGTCCTTATCGGCCATGTCCTTACATGGACCATATGGATCATAGTATGCTTTCCCCCGAACGCATCCCAAAGGATTCTATTTGAATGTGACTTGCAGGTCTACACAACACGAAAAGGATCTGGTGAGCGAGACTCACCAGATTTCGAGGCATCATTAATGATTAGGTCATTGTGAGAATACTCATTTTGGTGATTCTAAAGTCGATATCAAACCTTCATATTGAAAGAATCTTCATAAGCAAATCCCTTACCTGAGGGAATAAACGCACAGTGTGCTCCTATGGCAAGACATTAACTGCCTTCTTTTAGTAATTTTGTGGAGTTTATGTGACTTAAAATAGTTTATGGCCGTTTAGGGCCTAATATTCGCAAAACCTGATTATGCATCAAATCCTAAGTATACAAATTCCAGTATTTATAAAACATAGTTTAAGGATCATTGTCTTTTGGGTCCTAATATCTGCAAAGTCTAAATGATTGGGCTTTCCGCTAGTTAGGCTAGACAAGGACTGGGTTTTGGCCTATCAAGATGAGTTGATGGGATGGGCGAAGCCAGAAACTGGATACCAATGCCTTTGGAATCGGCATTGCCAAGCCAAGTTCAAGTGACCAGACCAACACCCCCCCGCCCCCCATCACCAATTTAGGTTTTATAAGAGGATTATAAAGCTTCAAACTATTAGGTTTGGTGATAGTCAAAATCACCACACCTAAATTTCATTTAAAATTTGAGGGTATTATGGGAAAAGAAAAAAGGGGTTTCTTTGGTGAACAAGAAAAAAGCTCAAGTGATCTCTAAAAAAGAGAACCAAAAGAAGACCTAGTACCCATCCTTTTAAGGGGGTCACCCCTTTGGGGGTTATGATAATAGATCTCCAAAGTCGATGGGTCTCCAAGAGAGAGAGACATGACATTTTAGATAGATGTGGTATTCACATGAGGTTTGGGTTAGTTAAAGTTTTACTTCTAGAGAGAGAAAATCTCCCGGTTGTTCTAGAGGTTATATTTCTGATAACAGTATTGCGATGGGAAATAAGATATTGATTGACAGATGTGCTCGGTTGGAAGAGCGGGTTTAGAAGGGAAGATGGGAAAGAAGATACTGATCGACTGTTGTGCTCGGTTGGAAGAGCGGGTTTAGAAAAAGGAAGATTGGTGATGATTTTTGCCGATGTTTAAAAAGAAGTATATCTCTTGTAATCCAAAATTGTAATCTTCATCGTGATAGTGGATTTCTTCTTGCCGAGGTCGTGGAGGTGGGCCCTACGGGGTGAACCATGTAAATCTTGTATTGTAGTGTGATTATATTTATTGCTTTATTTCTTACGCTCAATTTATAGTTTTATTCATCTACTTCGTATTTAGCCAATCATGTACACGATATTGGGTGGGATTCCGATAATTAGGAATCCAGGTTCTACAAGCTAGGGTTACTGAGAACCCTACAATTGGTATCAGAGTACAAGGTGTGGACAAGACTACGATTTATATGAAGATGAATGGCGAAGTTAGATGGGTACATGGTTTGAGGTGAAGAAATATGAAGGCAAATTGTTTGTGAAAATTCTACAATGAAGGCAAGAGAAGAAATTAAGAAATCTATTCAATAAAAATTGTCAAGGCAATTATGGTGATTTTGCTATCAAAGGTGGAGATTGTTGGGTTTGGTGATAACGAAATCACTATAGCCATATAGATTTTGTAACCCAAGTTTAGGTATTCAAAAATTTAAATTTTTTTTTTCTATTTTGCTATTTATTGGTTAGGCTAGGCTTAACACCTATGGGCCAATAGTCGGCCCATGATTCCCAACAAGCGAAGTCTGGTTGGGCTTGGGTCTAGTGCACACCAAGAGTACTTGGCTTGGGCCCTTGGCCAGGCCCATTTGCACCTTTAGTTTAGGGGGAGAAAACAAAAGGTCTTATGGAAAAAGTAAATATTTGTCAGTATGGAGAACAAACAAGAATTTGCTTTGGGAAAAGAAAAGTGAGAAATCTCAACCGGAAACACCTCAACCAAAGTAAAGAATCTCAACACCACCTGAAAAGAAGTATGCAACATTTGCCTCTTCGCATAACTACAATTTCACACTTTTGGGCCTAAAGGAGTCTATACTACATTTACGATTTGGACAACATTCTCTCTCTCTCTCTCTCTCTCTCTCTCTCTCTCATGAGAACGAACTACTACGTACTATATATAATAACGTACTACTAATAAGTAACTAACAACTAACTACACGACTAGTCGTACCTACCTACTAGTAGAAC